AGAGGGGAAAAAAAAAAGAAAAAAAAGGCTGAGGGCCCAGGGGGCGGGGAAGGGGGGCCGGGCCTGAATCCGGCGGGGAGGCCGAGCCTGAGGCCGGACTGCTGTAGATCCCGGGGACCGCGGATTGAACGGCGGCGGCGGCGGCAGCGCGCAGCGAACGTAGGCGGCGGGTGCAAAGCAGGGGGGACCCGGCGGCACTCGGGGGCGCCATGGCGTCTGTGCAAGCCTCCCGCCGCCAGTGGTGTTATCTGTGCGACCTGCCCAAGATGCCGTGGGCCATGGTGTGGGACTTCAGCGAGGCCGTGTGCCGCGGATGCGTGAATTTCGAGGGCGCGGACCGCATCGAGCTGCTCATCGACGCCGCCCGCCAGCTCAAGCGCAGCCACGTGCTCCCTGAGGGCCGCTCGCCGGGACCCCCGGCTCTCAAGCATCCGACCAACAAGGACCTGGCGGCCGCGGGTTCCCAGGGCCCGCAGTTGCCACCCCCGCAAGCCCAGGCCCAGCCGTCGGGGACCGGAGGCGGAGTCTCAGCCCCGGACCGCTATGACAGGGCCACCTCCTCCAGTCGCCTTGCACTGCCCTCGCCTGCTTTGGAATACACCCTGGGGTCCCGCCTGGCCAACGGGCTGGGCCGCGAGGAGGCCGTGGCGGAAGGGGCGCGCAGGGCTTTGCTTGGCTCTATGCCCAGTTTGATGCCCCCCGGGCTGCTGGCAGCTGCAGTGTCTGGCCTTGGAGGCCGAGCCCTGACGCTGGCACCCGGCTTAAGTCCTGCCCGTCCACTTTTCGGCTCGGATTTCGAGAAGGAGAAACAGCAGAGGAATGCGGACTGTTTGGCAGAACTGAACGAAGCCATGCGGGGCCGGGCAGAGGAGTGGCATGGGCGTCCCAAAGCTGTGCGTGAACAGCTACTGGCTCTTTCCGCCTGTGCACCCTTCAACGTCCGCTTCAAGAAGGATCACGGGCTGGTTGGGAGGGTGTTTGCCTTCGATGCGACTGCCCGCCCTCCAGGCTATGAGTTTGAGCTCAAGCTCTTCACTGAATACCCCTGTGGTTCTGGCAATGTGTACGCGGGGGTCCTTGCTGTGGCTCGCCAAATGTTTCATGATGCTCTTCGGGAGCCAGGCAAGGCCCTGGCCTCCTCTGGCTTCAAGTACCTCGAATACGAACGCCGCCATGGCTCAGGTGAATGGCGCCAGTTGGGAGAGCTGCTCACTGATGGAGTCCGCAGCTTCCGAGAGCCTGCACCTGCTGAGGCTCTGCCTCAGCAGTACCCAGAACCGGCCCCAGCAGCCCTATGTGGCCCACCACCACGAGCCCCATCCCGGAACCTGGCTCCCACGCCCCGCCGGCGCAAGGCATCCCCAGAGCCCGAGGGCGAGGCCTCTGGTAAGATGACCACCGAGGAGCAGCAGCAGCGGCACTGGGTGGCACCAGGTGGCCCGTACTCTGCAGAGACCCCTGGTGTGCCCTCACCCATTGCTGCCCTGAAGAATGTGGCAGAGGCCCTGGGCCACTCACCCAAGGACCCTGGTGGGGGTGGAGGCCCTGTGCGTGCAGGGGGTGCCAGCCCCGCAGCCTCCTCCACGACCCAACCACCAACTCAGCATCGCCTGGTGGCTCGGAATGGAGAGGCAGAAGTCAGTCCCACAGCCGGGGCTGAGGCTGTCAGTGGGGGTGGTAGCGGCACAGGGGCCACCCCTGGAGCCCCCTTATGCTGTACCCTGTGCAGGGAGAGGCTGGAAGACACCCACTTCGTCCAGTGCCCCTCGGTGCCCGGACACAAGTTCTGCTTTCCTTGCTCCCGGGAGTTTATCAAGGCACAGGGCCCGGCTGGAGAGGTGTACTGCCCCAGTGGAGACAAATGTCCACTGGTGGGCTCCTCTGTCCCCTGGGCCTTCATGCAAGGGGAGATCGCTACCATCCTTGCTGGAGACATCAAGGTCAAGAAAGAACGGGACCCCTAGGCTACCACTCTCAACACCAGGCTAACTTTCCCCTCCCTACTTCCACCCCACCGCTGCTGCGGATAAATTATTCCCTACCCCACCCAACCCAATGCCACCCCAGTCTGTGTATATAACCCCTTCCTCTGCCCAGATGGATCCCCTGGGGTAGATGCATTGTGGGTGGGGGGGGAGAAAGCTTGTGGTTCCTGTCAGAGGGGGTGTTTGGAGTTCCTGGGCCCCTCCAATTTCCCTCTCCCTTCCTTGGCTTGCCTTCCCTGCTGTTGGTAGTTGGGGGAGAGGTACCCTGCTTGTCCTTGAAAAGGGGGGGGGTCTCCTGAAAACCGCTCTTTATAAACGAAGCAAAAGCATTTTATTGCCCCCCTCTCCTGCCCTTTTCCTCATTCAATAAACCGAAAGATGGGTTTGGTTTTTTTTTCCTTCTTGGTCCCTTCAGTTCTGTGATATGCTGCGCCCCCTTCGGGCCTGAAGTGGTCCTGCAAGGGAGAGGGCGTTTGCGTTGTAGCCTCTAGGTGGCGCCCTTCGCCCAGGTGGACAGGTAGTTGTAGTGTACTGTGTGCTCGGATTAAAAAGTGGTAGCCTGGGGCCGGTTTTGCATGCCACGGTACGGAGGCTCGGGGAAGGGATGGCTCCTGCGTGGAGACTACAGACAACCTCGAGGGTAGGTCATGCTCTGTTGGTGGACCCCGCTCCATGTCATCCACCTTGTATGTGGAGACCACCTGAGGAGGGAAGGAGGAAGCCAGAGGCTTCCTAGAGGGACCCGGCCGTTGAGTGAGGGCTAGATCTCTAGGAGAACTGCCAAGCTACTTTCTCGAGCAAACAGGATGCATGCAAGCAAGGTGACAGCTTCAGGTGGTGCCCGAGAGGTGGGCACACCTGGGAAACCTGAACTGGGCTCCTGTCCTCCTCCTCGGGACAGCGGCGGCCACCCTAGAATACAGAGAAGCCGCGGCTGCCTCTGATGTGTGCGCGGCCTTGTCCCGCACCTGTCCAGGTGACTGATCATTAACCAGGACTTCCTGCTTTCTGGCGTCACAGGGCGGGGCCTGAGCAGGCTGCGGCAAAATAGGGGTTAAAGGGAGGTGGGCGGCCCCAGGAACCTAACCCCAATCCTCTGCCCGACCTCCCTGCCACCCTGAGTTCCGGGAAGGGTTTGGAATGCTGAGCCAAAATCCACGGACTCCACCAGAATTGCGTCCTACCTACATACAGCGCTCAGACCCAAGGATGGCTCAGATCTCAGCACCCCTAGGTGTTTCCTCACCTGAGAGCCCTAACTTAGGCGTGCCACCCGGTGTGCCCCCCACACACCTACGTAAGCACATGCCACCCTGGCTTTTAAAGCATTCTGAGTTCTTGGGTTCAGGGGGTCCCATCCCTCCCACCCCAGCAGTTGAGCACTCAAGTGCTCTGCTACCCCTGGCACTACCAGCTTGGGCTCAGGGCAGGGCTGGGAAAACCACCCCTGATTAAATAACACTAGTTGATAAGCGAGCCAGGAGTGATGCTGGGTGGAATGCCCCTCCCCCAGAAGTCTCCCTGATCCAGGGCTGCAGACCCAAGCAATGGGGATCGCCCCTTCCCCCAAATCCTCTGGGATAGAGGCCTCCCCGCACCTGGCCCCTTTGCTCCAGGAAGGGTTGGTGAGCTATGGAAGACACCTGGTCCTTTAAGAGCAGCTGGTAGGTGGGTGGGGGGCAGGGGAGTCACCCCCAGCCTGGCTGCTGTGTATTCTAGATAGAGACTGGGTTAACTATTAACAGAAGAGACAGCCTGACCTGTGTGGGTGTGGGGGGCTGGGTCAGTCCCCCTTCCCCCAGTGCTGGGGTGGGGCTAGGGTGGAGGGATTTGGGATTGATTTGGGGACCAGTGAGGAGGCAAAGAAACAGGGAAGATGAGAGTGATCCAGAGAAAAGTGGGAGAGGACAGGGGTGAGGGAGAGAAGCAAGAAGCTGGGGCTGGGGCTCAGTGGTGGAGCACCTTCCTAGAATCCCCCAGTGAGGGGCTGGGGGTGTGGGTCAGTGGTAGAGCACCTGCCTAGAATCCCCCAGTGAGGGGCTGGGGTGTGGCTCAGTGGTAGAGCACCTGCCTAGGATCCCCCAGTGAGGGGCTGGGGGTGTGGGTCAGTGGTGGAGCACCTGCTTAGAATCCCCCAGTGAGGGGCTGGGGGTGTGGGTCAGTGGTAGAGCCCCTGTCTAGAGTCCCCCAGTGAGGGGCTGGGGTGTGGCTCAGTCGTAGAGCACCTGCCTAGAATCCCCCAGTGAGGGGCTGGGGTGTGACTCAATAGTAGAGCACCTGCCTAGAATCCCTCAGTGAGGGGCTGGGGTGTGGCTCAGTGGTAGAGCTCCTGCCTAGAATCCCCCAGTGAGGGGCTAGAATATGTGGCTCAGTCAGTTGTAGAGCACCTGCCTAGAATGCACCAGTGAGGGGCTAGAGGTAAGGCCCTGGGTTCCATTCCTAGCACCACATACAAAATTACTTTTTCAAGAGACTAATTCAGTGAACTAAATAGAAGAGTCAGAGTCATGGAAAAATGAGAAAGCCTCTAAATTGAAGGAAATGAGGCAGAAACCAACCATGCTCAGAGAAATCCAGAGAGGTAGAGAAAGTCATACACAGAGATGCTAACAACAGAGACCTGGATGATGAGAGGCTGAGGTGCAGAAAGGTACCCTAAATCTCAGCGCACAGGAGACGAAGGCAGGAGAATCACTGCAACTCCGAGGCTAGGCTGGGTTTCATAGAAGCAACCTGTCTCAAAAGAGAAAGGAAGAAGAGGTGGGAGAGAAATAAACCTTCAGATCTGCTCAAACTAGAAGGTTGTCAAAAAACAGAAGACTCCTGGTTCCTTGGTGCCCCGTGGTGAAAATGGCCTGTCTAGTTCTTCCATAAATATCCATCCCTCTCTCAGCCTTTGCCTCATCCAGGGAGCCCTCCATGACTCCTAGGCTGTGTAAGAGACTATTTCTTGGTTCCCACAGTCCCCTGTACTCCCCCCATCCCAGCAGTGCCCAATCTGGATCATGGCTCTCTGGCTCCTGGACTGTGAGCACCCTAAGAAAAGTTCAGGACTGTCCTGGTCAACACTGTGTGCCCCTTCCCCAGCATCCCCCAGTCTAGGGCTGGTTTAAAGGATACATCAATAAATGGAGTCCTTTCCCTCAACAAAAATTTCTCAGCTTCCATTGGGTGACAAGCTCTAAGTCAGACACTGGAGCTTAGAGCAGTGAATCAGAATGTAGGTTTTCATCCCAGGAGATAATGTTCAAATGGGAGACATAGACCCTTAAATATCCCAGCCCTAGGGCTGGAAAGATTGCTCAGTGGTTAAAAGCACTGGCTGCTCTTGTAGAGGACTGAGGTTCAGTTCCCAGCACCTACATGGCAGCTAATAGCTGTCCATAACTTGAGTTTCAGGGGATCCAACACCCTTTTCTGACCTCCACAGGCACTGCATGACACAGGTGCACTTACATACATGTAGGCAAAACATTTGTACACATAAAATTAAAATAATTTAATTTTTTAAATTATTTTACATGTATGAGTGTATTTCCTTCGTGTTATATAGTGCACCCGTGTCGGTATGAGTGTATTGCCTGCATGCATGTGAGCACACCCATGTCATGCAATGCCACGGACATCAGAAGAGGGCTTCAAATTCCCCTGGAACCTGAAATAAGGACAGTTCATAGCCACCATGTGGGTGCTGGGAATCGAACCCGGGTCCTCTGCAAGAACAGTCAGTGCTCTTAACTGCTGAGCCATCGCTCCAGCCCCAATAAAAATAATTTAAAATATGGCAGTGGGGGCCTTAAGGCCTGAGAGAAGATAGACCAGGCAAAGGAGGTAGAGACCGGTGTTTTAGAAGCAATCCACTAAGAGTTGAAGGAAAAGAAGCAGCAAACCAAGGAAAATCTGTGATTCTGTGTGCAAAGATCCTGGGGTAGAAAAATGCTTGGTTCCCCCAGAAGCAGCCAGGGGGCAGAGCAACCAGATAGACAGACAGACAGAACCCCCCCCCCCAGAAGGAAGGCCATGTAAGAGCCAGAGAACCACTGGAGATAGCAGATGTAGAAGGACAGATGGCAGTCTAGCTGAGAAGGCCCTTTCCTTTCAGAATCCTCCCCACCCGGAAAGCTCCTAGGTTCTGAAAAGAAAAAAAACCTGGGCCCCCCTGCCAGCCTCACGGTGGTGTGCCTACTCACACCTCAGGCAGAGGAAGCTGGCAGGCCCTACAGGAACCTTTGGGGGGGAGGCAGTGAATGCGGGCGGGTGGCAGGGACGAAGAGAGAGGAGTGGCGGGCAGCGGGCAGTGGTTACACAAAGACTCCAGTGTCTGCCCTTCTTGCCCCCATACAGATATAAATAAGATGTGCATATACCTTTGTATACACCAGAGGGCCAGGGTGGAGTCTGGGGGCTGCACAGCCCATGAATGGCCAAGGCACAGAGTTTGCCCCTGTGACCAAGACTTGAAATAAGAGATGAGAGAAAGGGACAGAATGTCACTTGAGAGCACAGAGTTGGAAAGTGACGCACAGAATAGCTGATTTGGAAGGTAGAGACCCATCAGAGAAATGAACTTGGCTGCAGAGAGAAAAAAACAAAACAAAACAGAAAAACGGAGAAATGCTGGCCAAAATGCAGGGAAAGAAAGAGCCACAGTAACCCAGGCGAGAGGAAGTAGGGACAGAAAGAAACCAAGAGATTCAAATATAGAGAGAGCCAGGAGTGATGTTCTGTAACCCCAGGACTTTGGAGGAACAGCAGCAGGAGGAACAGGAAATCAGGGTCATCCTCGGCTACATAGTCTGAGACTAGCCTGGGCTATCTGAGAACATATCTCAAACAAAACACCTTCCCCCTCCAAAAAAAGAAAGAAAGAAAAAGAAAACGGGCTAGGGTCAGGGATGTGGCTCAATTGGTAGAATGTTTATCTAGCATGCATGAAGCCCTGGGTTCAATCTTCAGCACCATATAAACCAGACGTGGCGTGCACCTGGCATCCTAGCACTAAGAAGGCAGAAGATCAGGAGTTCAAAGTCATCCTTGGCTAGGCTACATAGTGAACTAGAGACTAGCCTGAGCTACATGAGACCCTGGAGGGAGGGAGGAGAGAGACCGAGAGACAGAGACAGAGAAACAGACTCCAGACAGAGGCCAAGATGGGGCCTTGGGTGCAGGGCAGCTAGGGGCATGTCTGTGGGCTGTGGTCCAGCTGGGCAGGGAGCAGGCCTAAGGGCAGGGAGCAGAGGTGAGGGAGGTGCCCTGGGCCTCCGGATCCTCATGTTTACCTGGGGCAGGCATGGCAAACAGGCATCCGGCCTGGAACACAGCAGCCAGGGTAGGATGGGCCGGGCCACAGTCCTGGCACCAGTGGGCCTGCCACGCCTACCTGTGGCCTGGGTGGTAACACACACAGTGGCACCTGGGTAGATGGTGACACATTTGTGGACAGGCACAGTGACACACTGTGACCAATATAGGCAGAGCCACAGTGGTGGGTCTGAGGGACAGAGTCACAGAAAGATAATGACAGGTAAATGTGTAATGTGTTGTTATGCACAGGCCCAGTGATGGACAGGGAAGACAGACAACTGTGACAAGGGAACATAAGAAAAACATAAGCACACACATGTGCTGAAAGACACTGCAAAACAACACAGAAGCCCACAGAGCAAAAGCACAAAGGCACACATGGAGCTGTGTGACAAGCATGACCCGGACACACACATACCCTTGTGAACTGCTCAGACTTCTGGTTCTGTGGGTAAGGTGCCTCCTCCCAGAGCCAGGAGGTGTGAGGAGGGTCCTCTAGAAGGAGGTCAAGGGTACTGAGTCTGAGCCAATTGACCTACCTAGAACCTCAGTCTCTGGCCATGTGACTGTGGGCAAGCTACCACACCTTCCCATGTGTCAGTTTTTACCAATTATAAAGTGAGGGGACTTGGAGAAGGATTATTCAATTAGTTCTTTTATTATTATTATTAATAAAATTTTTTATTATATTTTTTTTTATTTTATGTGTATGCATGTATTGCCTGCATGTAGTAGGTACGTGCATCCCATGTCATGCAATGCTGGAAGAGAAGAGGCTGTCAGATCCCCTGGAGTTATGGACAGTTGTTAGCTGCCATGTGGGTGCTAGGATTTGAACCCAGGTCTCTGCAAGAACAGCCAGTGTTCTTAACTGCTGAGCCACCTCTTCAGCCCCCCAAAATATTTTTTTGTTTGTTTTTTGAGACAGGGTCTCCCTGTAGCCCCAGCTGGCCTGGAACTCACTATGTAGGCCAGACTGGCCTTGAACTCATAAAGATCCGCCTGCCTCTGCCTCCCAAGTGCTGGGACTAAAGGCGTGCACCAGTTTTATGAGTGGGGTGTAGTGGCACACACTTTTAATCCCGGCACAGGGGAGGGAGAGAGGCAGATGGATCTCTGTGAGATTGAGACCAGCCTGGTCTACATAGTGAGTTCCAGGCCAGCTGTGACTACAGGGAGACCCTGTCTCAAAAAGAGAAAAAATTTTATACATATATATGAGTGTTTTTTCTACAGGTATGTAGGTACACCCAAGTAGGTAATGCCTGTGAAGGTCAGAAGAGTGTGTTGGATCCCCTGGAACTGGAGTTCCAATGGATGGTTGTTAGCTGTCATGTGGGTGCTGGGAATTGAACCCAGGTCCTCTGCAAGAGCAGCCAGTGCTCTTAATGGCTGAGCCTTCTTGCCAGTCCCCTCCCCCTTTTCTTTTGAGGTTTAAAAAAGAGAAGATTTTTTGGCCAGGCATGGTGGCGCACGCCTTCAATCTCAGCACTCGGCAGGCAGAGGCAGGCTGATCTCTGTGAGTTCAAGGCCAGCCTGGTCTACATAGTGAGTTCCAGGCCAGCTGGGGCTACAGGGAGACCCTGTCTCAAAAAGACCAAAAAAACCCCCCAAAACACAGATTTTTCTTTCAGTCTTGCTATGTAGCCTACCTTGATCCCAGCAATCCTCCTGCCTCTGCTGCTTTTACGTATATGCATTTGTATATATGTATATATAGTTTTAAGTTAATTTCTTGAGAATTTTGTACAATGAAATTTGATCATATTCACCCCCAACTCCTCCCCACAACTTCTCCCAGAGCCACATCCATGCATCTATCTGCCTCTTAAGTGCAGAGACCACAGGTGAGCCCCACCCGGCCCATCACCTGGGGTCCCCTTCCATCCTGATCGTCATTTTCATCTTCATCTGAAACCTGAGGAAGCAGGTGATCCTGTGCAGTCAGCTGGAACCCCTGGGCCCTCAGCCTCAGTTTCCTACCCACAGGTCCCTTCCTTGGATGGTGTCACCTCAGCCCCACAAGCCCAGACCTCTCTGTGTCCTCAGGGCTCCTCCTCCACCCCTGGCGTCCTCGAGTCTGTCCACGCATCCCACGTCTGACCGTGGTACTTTTCCACGTTGGACAGCAGCCTGCTGTCCCTGGGGTGTGTGTGGGGGGTCACACCTGCTCATGCCAGGCCACCAAACACCCCAACGGATGGCCCCACCCTCCCCTAAGGACCCTGCAACAACACCCCGCCTCTCGGGCCACCTAAGGTCCTCAGTGGGGCAGCCTGAGGCCCGGAGCCTGGGGACAGGAGGCTGCCTTGAAAGCCGCTTTCAACCTGGGCCTCCTCCCGCCGCCACCGACTCCTCCTGCGGAATAATATTTGGGCTGTTGGACGGGGGTGGGGGCCAGATCCGGAGGCCGCCGGGGAGAAGCCAGAAACCGCAGGGCTTCCTGCCTCGGGCCGGCGACCCCCAGGCCCGGGGGAGGGCTGGGGCCCGGGGAGACTGAGGGCCTTTCTCTCAGCCCCAGTTGTTTTTTCCAGGAACCAGGAGGAATTCCCCAGGCCTGCCCAGGACAGCCAGGCTGGTGGGACGCCTGACAACTGGGAGCCAGCAAGGCAGGGGGCGGGGGTGACACGCAGCTTGCAAAGGCGGGGACTGCGACAGAAATAGAGGGACCTGCCAGGCAGGCAGGTAGAGGCGGAACTGGGAGAGCCATGGAGGCCAGAGAAGAAAGACCAGGAAGGATCCAGAAAGACTATGAGGGACAGACCCCAAGCAAGAGCCCCAGAAAGGAGGGAACTTGCTAGAAGGAATGACAGAGGGGACCTAGCTCAATAGGTAGAGTGCTCAAATAGCATGCATAAGGCCTTGGCTTCCATCCCCACCACCTTTTAAGTGAGGTGTGGTGGTTCACCCCTCTGGAACTTGGATGACTGAGGCAGGAGGATGGCCTTGAGTTCAGACCACCCTGGGCTAGAGTGTGAGATCCTCTCTCATAAATAAGCCCAGGATGGTGGCCCACACGGTCTTTAGTCCCAACACTTGGGGGAGTAGAGGTAGGTGGATCTCTGTGAGAGATTGAGGTCAGCCTGGTTTACATAAGGAGCTCCAGACCAGCTGGGGCTAATAGGGAGACCCTGTCTTAAAAAGAAATTAAATAATAAAAATAAAGGAATAGCTCTGCATGATGGTGTATGCCTTTAGTCCCAGCACTCTGGAGGCAGAGGCAGGCAAATCTTTGTGAGTTTGAGGTCAGCTTAGTCTATCTAGCCAGATCCAGTCCAGCCCAGACCAAGAGTAGTGAGACCCTGTCTCTAAAAATTAATAAACAAAAGATATAAACAACAAACACAAGCAATATATATGAATTTGATATTCCAAGACACTATAAGCATATACCCAGATTGCAGATAGATGTGCACACAGTTGAGGGGTACAGACAAGTCATGACTTGCAGTAGACTTCAAGAAGCCCAACAGGGTAAGAGTCTATAAGCCACAGAACACAGGCACACAGGGGCTAGAGAGATGGCTCAGCAGTTAAGAGAACTTGCTACTCTTCCAGAGGACCTGGGTTCAGCTCTCAGCACCCACATGGCAGCTAACAACCAACCATCTGTAACTCCAGTTCCGGGGACCCAACACCCTCTTCTGACCTCTAGGGGCATGAGGCATGCACATGGTGCACATACATACACATGCAGGCAAAACTCATACAAATAAAATAAAGATAATAAATCTAAAAAGAGAAGACACTGTCACACCCCCACAAGTCTTCCTTTATTCTTTTTTTTCTCCTACCCCAAAGCTTAACCAAAAATCAAATAGTGTGTAATTCTCATAGATTCCCAGAGCCTCAAAGCTTCAGGTGTGTGTCTGGGAAGTGGGGGGTGGAGTGATGGCCTTGGTCATTGTAGAGTCACCTCCCCCTGGCCGCCCTGGCCCCACTGCTGCGGGGGCTGCTATCTATTAACAAACTGTCCTTGGGGTCAGGGACAACGAAGAGTCGAAGGTTAGATTGCTGCTTCTCCCAGCCCTTCCCCCACAGAGGCCACCAGCTGTCTGGGACAGGAAAGAGGAGGGCACAGGGAAACACACATTTAGATGTTCCTTCTCCACAGGGTCCACCAAGGAAAAGAGACACTTGGAGATGGAAATAGTGCCTTTAATGGTCAAACAGCCAGTATCCCAAGTCCCAGTAGAAAGTTCCCATACCCCCACCAGCCCTTTCTTGTGGCTAGGGTGGGGAACAGACTTCAGAGGGGGAAAAAAAAATCACAGGGTCTCCTCATCTCTACCCCTCACCCAACCCCCACCAAAGAGATGGTAACGACAGGCCCGTGGTTGGCCTTCATGGTGTATGACAGCACACTAAGACGTCACCCTGCCAATAGGGTGGCTCTCCAAGCATCCAGGGTCAAGAGGACACCATGCAAGATGGCACCCAGTATACCAAGAAGTCCACCAAGAAAGAAGTGATCCCAGCACACAGTGGGCCAGGAAAGATTACACTGATACGGGGTCACTGTCACACACTCAGAAAGTCAGTTAAAATGTCCATCAGATCATCCAAAGGGCCCAACAAGATATTATCCAACATGGCAGTCAACAAGCACCCAATGAATGAGCCAGTGGCATCACTCAATATGGAAGCTTTCATAGTACACCCAACATTGCCTTTCCAGGAATTCCAACATGGCTGCCTTCATAATGCTCCCAACATGGCCGCCTTCATAATGCCGTCAATATGGTTGCCTTCACAGTACACCCTCCTAAGTCCACCACCAGAGTTCATGGCAGTTATCACAGTAGCCAGTGGGTCATCACAGTAATAGACAAAACAAGATGTTAATGGATGGGACAAGCAAAATGTTTTTCCCAGAAGGATCAGGCTCCAAGAGCCAGATGTCAGTCGCAGCTGGTCCCCACCACCACATTGTCAATTGTCCCTGCTAGGAGGCATTGAGTAGAGAGCGGGAATAGAGGCTCTGGTAGTAGACCCCAGTCTCCCCACCCTCAGCCCCGTAGCCCCCAAACCCCACGTCCAGTTTGGGAGGTGCTGGTGTCTGTTCCGACATCAGGTTGTTGATAGAGAAAGGATGGTTGAAGTTGTAGGGTGCATCCAACTTCAGTTCCCCTGGGAGCTCCAGGCCCGTAAAATAAGGTGTGGAGGAAGGGGGTGAGGCACAGTCCAGAGCCCCCACATCTTCCCCAGCCTGGGCCTCGGGCTCAGGGGGTGGAGGCTGGGGCTGAGCCGGGGAGGTGACTGCAGCAGCATTAGGCATATTGGCGGAAGAGGTGGCTGACCCTGGTGCACCATTCCTGGTGGAAGATGCCACATTGTTTCCTTTCTTCACCTTCTCCTCCAGCTTGAAGCGCTTTTGGCGACGGAGGTAGCAACCATTCTCAAACATGTTCCCAGAACTGGGATGCAGGGCCCAGTAGGAGCCTTTGCCGGGCTTGTCTGGTGAGCGTGCCACCTTGACAAAGCAGTCGTTGAAGGACAGCGAGTGGCGGATGGAGTTTTGCCAGCGCTGCTGGTTCTCCCGGTAGTATGGAAAAAGGTCCATAATCCATTGGTAGATCTCACTCAGGGTCAGCATTTTGCCTGGCGCCTGCTGGATGGCCATGGTGATGAGAGAGATGTAGGAATACGGGGGCTTGGCATGGGCCAGCGGCCGCCGGTACCCCTTTGGCATCTCCTTTCCAGGTACCAGGCCAGGCCCCGGGGCCCCATAGGCTGAGCTGCTACCTCCCGTGCTGCCACTGGCACCCAGGCCTGGGAAGCTGGGCCCCAGGGGCACTGTGGGGGCTGGGGGTGCCAGGGATCCTGTAGGCAGTGGGGATGTGGGAAGCCCTCCTGGGGGGTAGGGAGAGCTGAGAGGGTTCAAGGTCATATAGGAGTTGAGAGGGGCCATGGTGGGCACAGGAGAATATACCTGCATGGAGAGAGAAAGACAGAGAGAGGGAGGTATCAGTGGGTCCGCACTCCACTAGTCAGCAAAGGAGCTCTCATATGCTACATGGAAACTCTCTGGAGTTCTCCAAAAAATAGTTACACCTATTTTGTTTGTTTGGTTTGGTTTGGTTTGGTTTTAAAGACAGGGTCTCATGTAGGCCAGGCTAGACTCAAGCTCGCTGTGTAACCAAGGATGACCCTGAATGTCAGATCTTATTGGCTCCACTTTCCAATTGCTGGGATAACAGGTATAGGCCACCACTGCCAGCTTAACTATTTGTTTTGCCTTTTCTTTGGTGTTTTTGAGACAGGGTTGCCCTACAGCCCCAGCTAGCCTGGAACTCATTATGTAGACCAGGCTGGACTCAATCTCACAGTGTCTCTTGCCTCTGCCTCCTGAGTGCTGGGATTAAAAGTGTGCACCACCACACCTGGCTTGTCTGTGTTTCTGAGTCCCTTTCATCAGCACATGTCTCTGGAGGTGGTTATCTGTCTACTTCCTGTCCTCCCAACTGCGCCCTTAGTTTCTGTTCCCTTCCACCATACATTTAAGGTCACATTTGAACCTAGTTCTCTATGTGTGGGTGTTCTGGGATACCCTGGGAAGTCTCTGAAACACTTTTAGGGTGTCCACAAGGTCAAAGCCAAGTTCAAAATCATGCGAAGTTATCATTAGACCTACCAGGCATGGTAGTATAGGCCTGTAATCCCAGCTACAAGTTCAAGGCCTGCATGGGCTTCAGAAGAGTTCTACCACAGCCTGGGAAAATTATTGAGATACTGCCTCAAAATAAAAAATAGTAAGAGGGGTTGTGGGTATGGCTCAGTGGTAGAGCACCTGCCTAGAATCCCCCAGTGAGGGGCTGGGGTGTGGCTCAGTGGTAGAGCACCTGCCTAGAATCCCCCAGTGAGGGGCTGGGGGTGTGGCTCGGTGGTAGAGCACCTGGCAAGTGATAGAATACTTGTCTAGCATTCTGGAGGCTTTGGGTTCAATACCCAATAAGTTAAAAAAAAAAAAAGATTTTGTTAACCTTTCATGCTCTCTCGTAAGTTTTCCAGTGATTCATGCCATGTGTTATTGCAATAGACTAAGGATCTATATCACCAGTTATCTCATATCCAGCCAGTTGTCAGGCAAATGTAGAAGACATTCTCATTAATTTCTTTCTTTTTCTTTTCCTTTTTTTTTGAGACAGAGTTTCACTGTGTACCTCAGGCTGCTCTAGAATTCACTACCCTCTTTAAACAACTTCTTAAACATGCTAGTTATACTAATAAATGACTGCTATTTTAAACTAAATTAGGGGCTGTAAGATGGCTCAGCAGGTGCTTGCATCAAGCCTGACAACTTGAATAGAAAACAAACTCACTCAAGTCGTCCTCTGACCGTCACACATGCTCCATGGCACACATGTGATTATATACACATGTGTGCAAAATAAGTAAGTATAAATAAATTGAAAGTTTTAAACTAAGCCGGGCATGGTGGCATACGCCCTTAATCCCAGCACTTGGGAGGCAGAGGCAGGCGGATCTCTGTGAGTTCAAGACCACCCTGGTCTACATAGTGAGTTCCAGGACAGCTGGGGCTACAGAGAGACCCTGTCTCAAAAAGACCAAAAAAAAAAAAAAGTTGAAAACTTAATGCATATTTAATTTTCAATGCTTTTTAAAGTTTTTTTTTTAATGTGTATGCGTGTATTGCCTGCATGTATGCAAGTGTACCCGCGTCATTCAATGCCCAAAGAGGACAGAAGAGGCTGTTGGATCCCCAGGACTGGAGTTACAGACAGTCGTTAGCTGCCATTTGGGTGCTGGGATTTGAACCCGGGTCTTCTGCAAGAACAACCAGTGTTCTTAACTGCTAAACCATCTCTCCAGCCCCTAAAGTTTTATTTCTGAATATAATAAATATCAATGGCATAATCCACATCAATAGAAACTGGGTCAGTTATGGTGCCATAATACCTGTGATCCCAGCACTGGGGAGGCAGAAGCTAGAGGTGTTCCCAAGAGTTCCATGCCAGCCTGGTCTACATAGTGAGTTCCAGGCTTGTCCAGGGCTACAGAGCAAGACTCTGTCTCAAAAGAAAAAGAAAAACAAACAAAAAAACAACGAACTTGTTTGGGGTCTTCAATAATTTTTAATAGTGTAAAGAGGTTCTGAGATCCAAAAAATTGAGAAATCAATAGTTTGTTTGACTTGGAAATAATTGAGAGATTAATCAAAATTGGTCAAGTCAGTTGAGAAATTGATTTACCTAATGAATCAGTGGTATTCTTGAGACAGGGTTTCATGTAGCCGAGGTTGCCCTTGAACTCTACAGGATCGGTAGTTGTCAATTTCATGGAGTATTTAATATAAACCCCTAACATCTAATCAATGTATGTATCTTTTTCATTCCTTTAGGTTATTATATAACCTAAAGAAATTAGGATGACCTTAAACTCCTGATTTTCCTGCATCCACCTTCAAAATGCTGGGATTATAGGTATGAGCCTTGGGGCTTCACTTTGCTTTTTGAGACTGGGTCTTCCTGTAGCTCCAGCTGGTTTAGAACTCACTGCACAGACCAGGCTGTCCCCCATCTCACAGAGATCCGCCTGCCTCTGCCTCCCTAGTGCTGGGATTAAAGGCCTGTACCACTGTGCCCTGCCTTTGGTTTTGTTTTTTGAGATAGTGTCTCACTGTGTAGCCCAGGATGACCTCAAACTCATGATGCTCCTGCTTTATACTTCTGAATGAATGCTGAGATTACAACTAAAAATTGCTGGAGAGGAATGTTTTGGAACTGGTGATTTTACTTAGGACTCTTCACAAACACTGTACTACTGAGTCACGTCCCCAGCTCCTCATTGGGGGATTCTAGGCAGGTGCTCGACCATTGAGTCACACCCAGCCCCTCACTGGGGGATTCTAGGCCGGTACACTACCCCTGATCCACACCCCAAGCCCCTCACTAGGAGAGTCTAGGCAGGGACTCTACCACTGAGCCATGCCCCAGCCCCTCAGTGGGGGGAGTCGAGGCAGAGGCTCTACCACTGAGCCATGCCCCAGCCCCTCAGTGGGGGGAGTCGAGGCAGAGGCTCTACCACTGAGCCATGCCCCAGCCCCTCAGTGGGGGGAGTCGAGGCAGAGGCTCTACCACTGAGCCATGCCCCAAGCCCCTCACTGGGGGATTAAGGGCAGTGGCTCTAACACTGAGCCAGCTGCCAGCCCCTCACTGGGGGATTATGGGCAGTGGCTTTACTGCTGAGCCTCACTCCTATCCTCTCACTGGGGGATTCTAGGCAAGTGCTCTACCACAGAGCCATGCCCCCAGTCTGAGAGGTGGTATTGATGCCACTTTAAGGCTGACGCAGCTATGGTCCCAGAGAGGCTGTCAGGACGTGGGGATCAAGGGAAGGAATCTTGGCAGTGCAGCAGCAGGACCTGACCCACATCCTGGAGCATGCTATGAAGGCAGCGGTCAGGATAGTCAGACAGAGCTGATGGTCCAGCAGGAAGGCAGAGAACCAGAACAGCATGGAAAAACATACTGCAGGTTGGATGGCGATTCTTCTTTCTCTGCACATCCACCCTGTCTACCCTTGTCTTCCCTCCTCTCTTCTTCCATTCTCCAAATGCCCAAATGACCTGTGCCTCCCTGGGTCTGGGGTCTCATGGAATTGAAGGGGGCCTTGGCCTTGGTGGTTGAATTGCTATCATCTGGTTTCTGGTTCTCTGCCACTGTGTCAGCTGCCAGGGCAGCCTTAGGGAGTCAGAAACAGGCGACAGCCACCTGCTCTTTCCTGCACCCATCTCTCCGGGTAGCTTCCTTTCCTTTCTTTTTTAAAAATATTTTTTACATAATTAGTTATTTTGATTTTTAAAAATTTTATGTGTACAGCCGGGCATGGTGGCACACACCTTTAATCTCAGCACTCGGGAGGCATAGGCAGGTGGATCTCTGTGAGTTCAAGGCCAGCCTGGTCTACAATAGTGAGTTCCAGGGCAACTGGGGCAACAGGGAGACCCTGTCTCAAAAAGACAAAAAAAAATTTTATGTGTACAAGTGTTATGCCTGCATGTGTATAAATGCACCCCTGTCATACAATGCCCACGGAGAACAGAAGTTGGATCCTGTGGAAGTGGAGTTAGAGATGGTTGTTAGCCACCATGTGGGTGATGAGATTCGAACCCAGGTCTTCTGCAAGAACAGACAGTGCTCTTAACTGATGAGCCATCTCTCCTGCCATTTATTTATTTATTTATTTATTATTTTATTTTTTGAGACAAAGTCTCACTATGTAGCCCTGGCTGACCTGGAACTGGCCATGTAGACCAGGCTGACTTTGAACCCATAAGAGATTTGCCTGCCTCTGCCTCCTGAGTGCTGGGATTAAAGGCATGAACCACAACACTTCTTTTTTTTTTTTTTTTTTGGACAGTAGCATGTAGCCCAGCCCAAGTTGGCCTTGAGCTAGGCCAGGATAACACTGAACTCCTGGTTCTTCTGCCTCTACCTCCCAAGGGCTGAGATTACAGGTATGTGCCAGCACACATTTATGACAGCACACCTGGTTTATGCCATGCCTCATTAATGCGAGGCAGGTGCTCCACTCACTGAACCATATCTCCAGCCCCAGGTAGCTCTTTCTATGTAGCCAAGGCTAGTCTTGAACTCCTGATCCTCCTGCCCCCACCTCCCAAGTGCTGGTATTAAAATTATCACTGCCAAACCCGACAGCCCAGGAAGCCCTTTCTGCCCTGTCTCTTCCAACCAGTCTTCCTTTCTCCCCTCCCCTCTTTCCTTCCCTCTCTCCAACACAGGATCTTGTTATACAGCCCTGACTGGCCTGGAATTTACCAATAATTTATGGCAATCCCTCTGCCTCCCTCTCACTAGTGCTGGGATTACAGGTGTGTGTCCATTTCTCCCAGTCCCAGTAGCTACATGTCCCTCCCTCCACCCTTTCCCCTCCTTGATGGAGCTCCTGTCTAGCCAGCCACTCCCCACCCCATCTTGGTCTCCCCCTCCTTGGAAACCACCAGTTCCCTAACTGCCTCGCTCCCGCAGGATAGCTCTGTAAATTTCCCTTTCCTCAGCATCTCCAGCTCCTCAGGAGCCTCAAGCTGACTCCTTTTCTCCTTCTCCAAGCACTGACCGCCCAGCCCTGGTTGGCTGTTTCTGCCCCTAGGAAGAAAGTGATGGCCTCAGGGGGGTCCACAGAGTCTCTCAATCCCTCTGCACCTCACCCCACTTCTCCAACTCGAGTACATCAGGGCCCTCCTTTTCTGGCTCCCCACCCACCCGGAAGTCCTCCTCCAGGTCTGACCTCAAGCACTCCAGCTGCTCTAATCCACCTTACGTTTTCCCACGCCCCGTGGCTGGGATGAACCCTGGGTGTCCGGGTCTGAACCGGATCTCCCCCTCACAGGGCGGGGTTATGAGTGAGGGGAAGCCTTCAGGGGAGCTGCACCCCCACCCAGGAGGCAGGAATTTCTCCCCTTTCATTTCCTTATTGTTTCTGGAGAAGGGTGTGCTAGGGTGCTGGGGAACAGAGGGAGGGAGGCAGCCAAGCTTCCAGTCCCAGACTCAACTTGGGGACTCCAGAACTGTAAGGTGTCCCATTTCGCATCTCTAAAATGTGGGGTGGGGTGGACCAGCTGGTGTGTAAGAGCCTAAGACTGTATGGGATCACACCAGGATGGTGAGTTCCTAATTCACCATCCTGCTAGCCACAGGATGGGAATGCAAGGTGTCAACCTCACTCAGCCCCCCCTAGGTAGGATCCAAAGGTGGTGGAGAGGAGGTCTGGTGGGATCTGGTCTGTTCTCGGTCCTGGTGGAGTACAGCTCATCCATTGCTCTCAAGAACAAGAGGTGGGCTCACCTGCTCCAAAGTGGAGTGCAGGGGGGACCTTCAGATAGTAGCTCCAATCCAATCCAGTCCCTCCTCAGGTTGATCCTTCCAAAATGCCCCCAAATCTGATCTACACTGGCCCTCAACTTCTCCCTCCCTCCCTCCCTCCCTCCCTCAGGTTTTTGCAATTTTTCTCTCTCCTCTCTCATGTTTTTAAGAGAGTCTTTGTGTCCCCAGACTAGCCTCAAATTCACAGCAATCCTCCTGTCTCAGCCTCCTAAGTGCTGCACTGGTGGACAGGAGCCACCAACCTGACATCAGTTGTTTCTTTTTCCCTGACATCAGTTGGTTTTTTTTTTTTTGTCTTTTTGAGACAGGGTCTCCCCGTAGCTCCAGTTGTCCTGGAACTCGCTATGTAGACCAGGCTGGCCTTGAACTCACAAAGATCCACCTGCCTCCCAAGTGCTGGGATTAAAGGCTTGTGCCACCACGCCTGGCAGTTGTTTCTTTTTAAAATATAACCTTCGAGTTTGGAACCACTTTCAAGTTACAGAAACATTTCCGAGATAATACAGAGAATCCTGTTTTCTCCTCACCCAGTTTCCTTCATTTATTATTATCATTATTATTATTAATTACTTTTAGTCACCAGACCTCATGGGTTTCGAAAAGACATTTTCAACATATATGTCATTACACTTTGCTAATCTTCTTGTGTCCCTCCCCCCTCCCAAATACCATCCCTCAATATTCAAACAT